GCGACCACTTGGCCAGCCCACCAGCTAATCCACATTTGGGCCCATCATGGCACCCATGACGCCCCGGCTCAAGATCCTCTCAGGTGCGTCCATTTCCCTGGCTTCAACTCTTCCCGCCCGCTCCAATAATTGCTTCTTCTTCCATCGGTGCGACCGTGTGGATCGGAATTTTGTGTCCCTTTATCTCTACCCGTCAGCCCGGCTTTCCCTCCCCCCATTACACCTTTCCCGTCCTGAACCCCAAAACCACACTCGTTTTTTTTCCTTACCACCCCTCTCTTTTTTTTCTCCCTCGCTTCAGGCACCGGTGCTCGTGCATCGTGTCGAACGCGATTCGCTATGGCCGAAGAAAACACCAGCAGTGAGCTAATGAGCGTGTGTTCAGTGGGAGGAAATCCAGTTTCTGCCTTCTTGTCATGGAGATTACAGGCCACCAATGCCTGCGACGTTACACTCGTGTGGAAGTCCGGATATGATCATGTTGCGCAATACGGCATCTCGTTCAAGTACGTTTTGCTCCCTGCCGAGCCTTCCGCGCAGCGTCTAATCAAGGGATTGCAGGTCACCCGTCTTTGGCAACGAACGCTTCAAGCCTCGACATGGTAAGCAACCTCCAGTAATTCCAGAAAGTCACAGGAAACACTTGCTAACGCGGGTTTGTAGTCGTCCGCGTTCCCGAAGAAGCCGCCAACACCGTCGGTCCATTCGATTATGTGATTCTGTGCATCAAGGCCCTTCCCGACGTCTACGACCTCGCCGCCGTCATCGATGCTGTTGTTACTCCCCAGCACACATGCATCCTGGTCAACACGACTCATACACTCGGTGTGGAAGCCGCTATCGAAGAACGATTCCCTACCAATGTCGTCCTGTCGCTGGTCTCTAACGCTGAGCTTTCTCAGCTTGGCCAGAGCGAATTCGAGCACAAGGGATCTACTGAAATTTGGGTTGGACCCTCCAGCAAGAATGATAACATCCCGCCGGCGATTCAGGAGGATATGGCTCAGGCGCTTGCCATGACATTGACAACGGGCCAGGTTGACTGCAAGGTTTCTCAGAATATTCGCCAACAGCAGTACGAGAGGGTCATTGGGTAAGCACCCCTGGGGACATTGGCGCCAATCATTTACTGACAAATGCCTAGTCCCATTGCATTCCACCCTGCCAGTGTGATATTTGAGACAGCAAACCATACCCAGCTGCTCGAGAAGATTGGCGTTAGGGACCTGGTAAACGACGTAATCGATGAACTGCTCGCCCTCGCGACGGCGCACGGTTGCAAATTCGCACCCGATTTCAAGCAAAAGACAATCGACGAAATGACGAAGCCCACGCCTACCGAGAGCATCATGTGGCAGGATTACATCGCGAGACGCCCGATGGAGGTCGAGACATATCTTGGTTCCCCGATCAAACTGGCCAAAGAAGCCCGCATTCCCGTTCCGCGTATCGAAACACTCTACGCTGTTCTGCACAACCTGAATATCGTCAACCGCCAAAGGCCGCCCAAGCCTGTCGATGGCATGGGAGCCCCGGGATCTCCCACCTCCCAGTCACCGGCGCCGAGAATGTCCACACAGAACGGCGCGCGCCCGATGAACGGCAACGGCATGCCTCCTCGTGGTCCCCGCCCGAGGAACTCGTCCAACTTGGGGCCCCCGCCCCCGGGCATGCGCCGACCGCCTATGAACGGAGGCCCCCCCAACGGCTACCCCCGTGGCCCGCCCGGACCTGGATCTCGAGCAGCATCCAGGCGAGGATCGCTGGAAGGAAATGAATTGGAGGAGTTTTCTCACCTCATGCTGTACGACGATATTCCCGAGGGTGGCGAGCCTGGCTACGTCCCCGGCCCGGATGGTTCTGACTTGACACTGCGTGAACGAGAGTTAGAGTTGCGCCAGAGGGAGCTGGCGATGAGGGAGCGAGAGATGCGGATGAGATCGAGGGGACCGCCTCCCAGAAGAGGTCCCCCAGGACCTCACCCAATGCGCAACAGCGCGCAGGCATTTGATGATGAGGACGATGACGACGACTACTTCGACCCCATGTCTGGACCCACGCCTCCCATGATCGACCCTGAGAATTTCGATATGATGAGCGTCACATCAAGGAAGAACCGGAAACAAGCACCCCCTCCTCCCAACCGTGCCCAATATCACAAGAATGAGATTTACGATTCTGCAGCACCCCCTGTTCGAAACTCGAGATTTCGCCCGAACTTCGGCCGCAATCGATCCAGCCAGATCGCTAACATGCCTCCCATGAACGAGAACATCTTGGACGACCCGCTCCTGTCCATGACGTCAAACCGTTACGGCGCAGTCGATCGAGGCGCCATGCACGCGGGATCCCGAGCGAACTCGCTGACGGCTTCGCGCTTGGACGAAATGCAGATGGGAGGACCGATGCAGATGGGCATGAACGGAGCATTCCCTCGACGAGCCAGTCAGTCCCCGGGAAACCCGTACAGCCCTTCGATTCGAGGTGGCAGCGGTAGACCTTCGCCGCCGAACGGTTATGGCGGCCCGTCCATGAACGGCCGGCCATCGCCTCCTGACGGTGTCCGTCAACCCGTGCCCCGATACCCTCCCGGCCATGGTAACGCAGTCGCGCCACAGCAGGTTGAGCAACATGTCGGGGTGAGCGGCCTCCTTCCACCCAAGCAGAAGAATGTGAGAAGTCTGACTGGTAGTGCGAGCGCCAGCGCGGGCAGTGGTGAATCTCAACCGGACACTGAGCCCTCAGCCCACAGCAGCCAGAGTAGTCTTGGAGCGCGCCCGCCCATAGGAGTGCGGTAAATCCAAGCGTCTGGCTGCTTCACCACATCGAAGCGATGACGCCGAGCCGGCGACACGGAACGGCATTGACATGTATGGCACAACTGCGACCCGACACGAACACGATGAGACGTCTCCTTCATCCGGCACGCTTGCCGACTATGGGAATCACACTACCCTGATCCTACGAGCACACCTCCAACTTCTCACCTCGTCCCACGGCAACACGATAACGACACGAAACGTTTAGACAGGGTCTTGGTCTATTCTTCGCGACAAAAACACATAGCTAATTCGACGACCTTTTTCCTTTATCGAATGGACCATAGTCCAGTACATACATACGGCATTGTGGCGATAGGAACAGATTTTCAACTTCTGGTAATAGCAGCATTGGCGTGGACGACTTCTTCAGCTCGGTTTCGAGGAACCGCCGTTGGGTTTGGAAACAGATGATTACGTCACGACGGCGGGCGTCTGGATGGGTTCTGATTTGCGAAGTGACGGACGTGGCCGGTCTTCAAAAGTTGATTCATACCGAAACCTTACGGCGGTGACGAATGTCTTGCGTTCCTTGGGCCATGATGGGCGACGTGGGAAGTTGGATGTGTATAAAACGGAAAGCCTATCCAGGCTATTTTTTCTTTTGTGTCTGTCCTTCACGACGAAATTTTCTTTTGGGGGGAAGGCCTCTCTGTGGGCAAACCACGGGAGCGGCCGGTTGAGATCACAAGTAACGAGCATAGACAGGGCCGGAGGGGTTTTTGATCCGGCAATACAAAGATGGGAAGATTATTGCATGGCTGAGAGAAGAAGGGTGGCATGCCCAGGCCGGAGCTTCTCTGCGAAGGGGAATTTTGGCTTTGGTTTCGTAATATTTAGTTTCCCGCTGATGAGGATGGCGGCGGAGGGTGGATGGAGGCTCCGTTTGGGAAGAGGTGGAATTAGAAAAGTTCGAGGGGCACGGCATGTAGGCAGCTCCTTTAGGCGTTCAGCTTGAGCGCAATGGAAAGTCAGACTCAAAGCAATATTTTCAATGACTTCAGACCGTGAGTGACGATGTGAAAGGCGTGTTGGAAAGCCACTTTTGTGGCTCGGACCGTGGCCTGTGAAAAAGCAGACTATGACGCAGATCTGCAGTTTCGCGAGGACGTTCCTTTCTCACAAGCCAAACTCAGGCGCAGGTTGGATGAGACACTAGCAACACGGGTTGAGTGAGCTTGGCCGAGGATCAATCTCTTTTTGCTACTAAGCAGCTAGCTCTGCTGCGCCTGCCTGACTGGATGTCTACATTCCTTCTGTTACTTTCAGAGGCATTGGAGGCGATGCATGCATTGCAGCTGCCATCTGAAGTCGAGACAGGAGGAACCCATCCGTGCGAACTGGACCCCTTTTTTTTTTTTTTTTTGGTCCAGCCTTGCGCGTGGGAAGCTGTAGTGCTACCATCCATCAGCAAATCATTCGAACGCTTTGCTTGGTTTTTTTTGCCATGTCAGATATGTAGGTCATTATTTATGCGTGTCGTCTGGTGGAAGGGCCGACTGGGGAAAGGTTGTTGCTGGCTTGTGTGGTTGTGTGCGGTTCAGGCATGTTGCCTGACTCTCTGCGGGTACGTACCTGGATGTCATGTCATCATGGGGGGTAGGTAGGTCAACAGCTGGTGACGGGGATTGGCAGGTTGCACGGACGGGCGGCGCGGCAGGCGGGATCCGATTCAGTGTCGGGTGTGTTTTGTTTACGGGATCCACTTCTTTTTGGGGGGGAGGCGGTGCAACGACCGCTGGATGTTTGTTTCCTGGACTGCATGAGATTGTTTATTGAGAGAGTCTGTTTGGACGACAACGCGGCACGACGGCATACCGACTGACGTCAGGAGTTCTCCTATCGATTTGAGGAGACGCGGAACGCCATACCCGCTATTGACGCGGTGTATTTGTCTTTTTGAGGTGAGTTGACGGTATGGCGATGGCGATGTGTGGTGTTTTACCCCTCCCCCACTTTTGCATTGTTTTGTTTGGGATATCCGGATTTTATGCGTCGTGACGGACTTTCTGTGAATGAATCTGGTCACTTCCGTGATATTGGGGGTACGCATGAGGAGGTGGGTTTTACGGTGTGAATGGTTTGCTCACTAATGCCTTCAGCAAGACAACAACCCACGGTGCCACCAGGAAACCATAAGAACCAGAACCCCTGAAGGGCTGAGACGCAAGAGAGCACAAGATGGCCTCCACACGGAGTCTCAACATGCACACGACGAGGCCGTCCATCTCGGCGAGCTCGGGCGGCGCGGTTAAGTCGAGGCAGCTTGTGAGTTTGCTGTCCTGCCCCTGATGAATCGGGGATGATGGAGGGATGTACGACGCTGACTGAAGAACGCCAGACACATCTCCATTCGCAGCTGGCTCAGCTGTCTGCCAACCTTGCGGATACGGAGAACCTGGTTCGTATGACGAGCGTGCAGGCGGAGAGTATGCGGGGACTGGGTGCGTGGCACGGCGGCATGTGAGTATATCGACCTTCTTTCGAGTCCTTCCCGGGGTGATGGATGTCTCTGTTCGATCTGCTGGGCAGAGAGCTGGAAGCGCTACGGATGAGCGCGAAGCTATGCAGAGCTCGATGCTGATGAGGGATAGGTTCATGGCTGCGAGCAAGGTCCTCGGCGAGGAGGCTATCAATCGCGATGCGGCGGCACAGGCTAAGGGCGGTCAGCGCTGAGGGATGGTGGGTTTGCAGAGGGGAAGGGCGATGATGCGTACGATGGCTTGGGTCTTGTTTTCTGAGGCTCTTTGACATTCATGATGATGATTACGAGCAAAGGTGATGTCGGCAGAGGTTGTGGCAGTCAGATATCTGGTGTGAAGGCAGTCGAGTTAGAGGCTCGGGAGACTTGAATGAATACCCACCGTTTTTGAAGAACCAGGCGTTTTGACATGTGCTGTAGGGTGTCGAGGAGGTTATGAAGCGGTATAAATACGACGTCTCTTCCGTTATTCTAGGTGGCATGCCATTTCGGCTGATGAACTCTGACGTGCTCGACAATCGCAAGCCTCTGTGACGACTTGATTGTCTCAGGCACTCAACCTGATACCGACTTGCAAACCTGCCCGCATTGAATGGAAGGTGCGCGTGATAGGATCAATACTGACGGGATACCTGAGCGAATGATGTCCCAACAGTGCTGGACGAAGACGTCTAAGGCACCTAGTCTATGCCTGGTAAGGATTATCTGTAAGGAGGGTGGAACGTATGCCCCTTATCACGGCTCTGGCCACTTACAAATGCCATGCAACCCCTCACTCATCTTTTTGGCTTTGAGCGAAACCTCCTCTCAGGTGTTCCTCCGCCTTTTATCGTGGTGATAATGAGGTTTGAACCGTTGTTGGCGTTCACGTCCATGTCTGAAATTACTGAACGAGCTGCAGACTTCAGCTGGCCCTCCACATCTGCACACTTATAAAGGGAAAGAGTCACTTCCGAGCAATCGGGCATCCGCACGACTCCCCGCAATCCATCCAGGTGATTGCCAGAATTCAAGGCTACAGGAGTGAGCGCACTTTGGTCATCGTTACCTTAACCCGGCCAGTCATTCAAAGCTCCCACAACCGACCTATCCTAAATATCGTGCTAGACTGATCGATACTGGTGTATTCCTATCGCGTATAACGCACGAAATTTGACGAACGAGGAACAACCTTCAGTCTATGCAACATTGTGATCCGTCTAGAAGGCCTGCCGGGGGTATTATACAGCCCTCCGCCGACCCCGATCGAGCTTGATAGCACAAACGCCAAACACTTTGCGAAAGCTACATTGAACGAGAGCAATAAATCAAAGCTTTTCAGGATTTCTTATCAACTTGACTACCTTGGTCTCTCGCCGTTTTGCGAGAGCCCCTCCGTGCGGAGAGCCAGAAGATCATAGTCCACGGCTGACATCAACGGCCACCGACTCGGATGCCAGCCGTGTTGGGACGGACCCTTTGTCAGGGGACGGAGGATGCGTTGGATTTAACACAACATGGAACTATCCGTCAAAATTCTTTCCGCGGCAGAAGATGGTATGTCTGCATGTCATTCTTCCTGAGACTAGGTACCGTTTAACGTCAGACGATGCCTCACGCGAGAAACCATTTGGGGGCCAGCTCTAACTCTTGTCAAGTTTTCGTTACCGATGTAAACTCACAGCCACATCTTTCGTCTTCCGCTTTGGTATATAACGTTCCTACCTAGTCTGAATCATTACACGATGAAGGCGGATAGACGTAGGTATCGACGACATGTCCCAGAGAGGCAACTCGTGCTTTGGACTCCCTTCACTGATGAAAAGAGAGATATGACGCCCTACTATTTTCAAATTGAAGGTTAAAGGCATGGTTGATTGTGATGTGAAAATGAGAATCATGCGAAAACCTGGCCGTTTTATATCGAATTAACGGTAACATGGACTTTGATGGCTCTGGACATCTTGCGGCGCATGATGCGTCTATTAAACCACCTCTACATTGTGAATTTACTCTAGCACAGCAATACTCCTGCGATGTTCCATTGCCTGTTTTGCCCTGGGAAATTGAATGTTGTGGGGAGATCAGAACTCTCTCGTTTGGGAATTGGTGTAAGCCACTGCGCTAGAAACAGTCCCCGTTCTTCGCCTAGATTGCCGAACTATTCAAGTCGGATATTCTCACTTGATTAATATCAATATGGCAAGTCCCAGACGAGCCGTTTATCGAGCCAATGCAGGCGACGGAGAACGAGCTGGGAGAGGATCTAATGTTCGCGATACGACGGCAGTCGAGGCGTCGTCGTGTACTTTGAAGTACGGTATTAAAGTGATAGAAAGATCTAAATTACATGACTCAAAATCTCTCGGGTTCGCTTTCGAGTGCTCTGCGCGAGTATCGTAGGTGAGACGAAGAGTCCGTCATGAATTGAGCGGCTGTAGAAACTGCCCTTGGCTGCCGGAGTAGAAGCAATAAGTCTCCTCCGTGCCAAAATCATACGATTCGGAATACTAGAATGACGAAGAAGAGCACCATAGATTCATGCCATCATCGGTATCCAGGTTTCGCATGCCGACTTACGTCGGGAGTTGCGAAGCATCCGTGGATGTCACGTGGTATTGGCCCCTATGATAACACGATCATCTGGAAACATGGACGCCGGAACCTTGATTTGTTTGCTTTCGAAGGGCTTGGGAGATCATCTCCGTGTTATATATTGTGCGGTTTAGCAGCTTTGTCGTGACCCTGATGATGTGTCTTCTCTCCCGCTGAGGGGTTTTACAGTTCATACCATAAATAGGAGAAGTTGTCGTCACAGCACCACTGAGGTTGGTCAACAATCGACAAAGACAGAGACGAAGTTAGGAATAACTATGTGTGCCCTGCGTCCTCTATGTTCTCTGCCCCCGTTGCGACGAATGTGATCTTCAATTCTTCCTCAAAACTCGGTTCAACCACTGGACTCCACGCACATATTCTTGGCTATGTTAGCGAATAAACGCGGGAAGACGTTGAAAGAAGGCGGTAGTTAGTGAAACCAGACCGGTCGGACTACCGGTGCATTGTCATCAACATAACCTTTCCCGCTGCTATTCCGCATTCAAAGCTACTGATATCGGCTATCAAGAAAACCCCATCAGAAATGTCATTGGCCTGGGCTGTTAGCAGTAGCAGTGACTGTAATTAAATACTAGTCTAGAACGAACGTAGTAAGAGATCAATGTTATATAATCACGCTTGGTACAAAATAATAACAAGTGTGAAGAGCCTTCGCTGCCTCAAGAAGCCACGGCATCTGAGTTTGACTCGTCGTCTGCTGATGGATTATGGCTGCTGAAAGCTGGTCTCTGATCTATAGCAAGACCCATTCTGCGACTGGATGCTTAGTTTGCCACTGATGCGAAAGAGCGCTTGCTGTGATACAGAGTTGTACAAGCCGAGGACGATGAATGATGGTGGCACGTACTGCGGGTTGAACATCATGGAAAGTACTAGCTTCAGGTCTTAGAGCAGAGGCGTTCGTCAGCGGCGGAAGGTCATCTCAAGCAAGTAGACACTGGAAGGAGAATATTCTGGAGAAGTAGTGAAAGTGCGACGCGGAGCTTGATTTTATAGAAAGCCCGACCAACAAAGTCAACGGTCAGCATGGCGCACAGCGTTGCACAGTTGTTCACTTGGTCAACAAAGGGACCCAGGCTACTCCAACTCAGCCGTAGAACCCCTTCGGTATAAGTAGGGTGTGATCAAGGCACCAAAGAACTTCCTGCTCAGGCAATGTGAATCCATGACATTGGCTTCTTGAAGGCTATCTTGGAATCCCTAGAGTGCTGGTAAACCGTGCGACTTCTTTCAATCACATGATGTCACCATCCATTAAACATGAAAAGCATGATACGACTGAGCTTCGAGCAGTAGTCGAATGGAACAATACACTACAGAAAGAGGCGATGGGAGAGAGGAGCTGAAGTATCAGATAGTCGCCTAAAGTCATTCAACAAACGTCAACAGCAAGCATTCTCGACTGCAAAAGAAATAACTAGCCAACACAATCACACACAATCTTGGGCTTTCACTTCAGTCCCAGAAGGAAAGAAAGGGTTGTGAATAGAAGCGGCTCTTTTATACTCCAAAAGCCCAATGACAGCGGTTGCCGACACTCGCCGGGGAGCCAGGTGCAGCTTGAGCATGCCCGTCTCATGGTGTGACTTTAAAATAGAGAAGCTCCCAGGACGATGATGATCTGTGCAGGGAAAGCAATGATCGAGAACAGACGGCTGCAACGATGGGGACGCCAGAGATTGACGACGCTGGCGGATTCAACTTCGGTCTCGCCTCCGCCTGAGACACCGATGCACTCGCGGTCCAGCTGCCAGCATACTAGAGGTCACAAGACTTGGAATTTGGTAGAATAAACTTGAGATCGAAACGGATAAAAGGTAAACGACGGCATGGGGGGGGGGGGCTTGGCAGAGCTCTGTCACCTGGCCGAGATCTGAAAAGACGGGTCGGTTCGATGCGGCCTTGACCTAGTGTTACATTTATTCATGTTCCACTTATTCAAACAGCAAACAACATGAAGCGACTGCCATATTGTCTTGTCCCGTAACCTGCTATCCTGGATCCAAGTGTTCATTTACATACCGCTCTAAACGTATAAATTGAATGTCAGTTGCTCGTCTAATAAGCTGCAGAATGTCCCATGTGTCGTACGTTGTGTTTTAAAGAAGCCAAGACATTACAAACAAATGCTGTACCGTAGATGCGATGACCGAAAGAGTAGGTAGCTATCCGCAGCCTGGCGTAAACTTGACGGTAGATTGGGATACATGTTGGGATAACCTCCTAGAGGCGGGTACGAGAGACGACAGAAAGCAACGCATGCGCTCAAGACACTTGCGTTGGACTTTCTCAGCATCGGATTAAGCAGACGTAAGCATAACGCCAACAAGATATGAGAGCGGTTCGCGATATGCTCCAGCTCGGCCATTTTAACTAAGCTGATATACGACATCATTTCCGTAACCAGTCGTAACACTCAGTGTCTGAATATTCTTTAAATAGACTTCTCGATCATCTGCGACGAAATTTCGAGAGGAATCCAATCTGACAATGCTCCCATGAGCGACGATTCGAGTGCGTTGATCATCGGCTTTGCTTCGACCGCCACATGAACCGGACCCAGTAAGCAAGAGCGATCCTCCCATCACCGTCTGAA